TTGCCTGGTACACAAAACTAGAGCAACGGACGGCAAGGCTAAACCTATGCAAAGTCCAGAGATTAGCATGTGTATGCATCACAGGAGCCATGAGAACCTGTCCAACAGCAGCAATGGAGGTCATTCTAGATCTAACACCACTGCACATTGTCATTGGTAGATATGCCAATGCGACAATGATTAGAATGGTCACTAACGGAATTAGTACTGGGAGAATTGTCAGATCAGGGGCTTGGAACACCCTCAAAAAGGAAGTACCACTCCTGCAACTCCCAGTGGACGATATGCCAAGAACGTACAACTTTGACAAACATGTCAATGTAGTATTGAGCAATAAGAAGGATTGGAAGAGCGAAACGCTTGCCCAGCAGTTAAAAGACCATACCATAACTTGGTATTCTGATGCTTCCAAAACCAATACGGGAACAGGGATCGGAGTGTTTGGGCCGAGAGCTAATTACTCCGAACCAATGGGCACTTACCCTAGTATCCAACAGGCAGAAATCTACGCTATCGAGAGATGCGTACAACTTATCTTAGATAGGAACTATCGGAAACAAGAAATAGCCATCTTGTCTGATAGTCAAGCAGCGTTAAAGGCGATCAACTCAGTATAAATCAATTCGAAATTGGTCAAAGAATGCATAGAGAAGCTGAATAAATTAGGCAAAGAAAACAAAGTCCTCCTACACTGGGTGCCTGCTCACCAAGGGATAGTAGGCAATGAAAAAGCAAATAATCTAGCTAGGAAAGGAGCGAACACTCCACTAACTGGACCAGAACCGTTCTGCTTTCCAAGTGGTAACCAACTCAAGGCGGAACTCAAGAACTTGGAAGATTCCATCCGCAACCTGGAATGGAAATCTTCAATGGTCTAAGAGACTCGAAGAAGTTTCTGAGGGCTTATGATCAAGAAAAATCACAGATCTTCCTGGGTCTGAGTAAGAACAATCTTCGGATTGTCACGGGGTTTTTAACAGGACACTGTCTCCTCAATGAACACCTCAGTAGATTGAAACTAAGAAGAAACGGCGAATGCAGATTCTGTGGGGAAGATGGGGAAACACCAGTACACCTCATCACTGAGTGCGCCGAGACGACAACCATTCGTGCCATGAATTTTGGTACGACTGATATTGGAGATGGAGAACTACCCTCTATAAAACCGTCCCAGATACTGGCTTTTGTCAAAGCCCTGGGACTGTATGATGAGTTATGATTCAAGAAAGGGGGACACAATGGATCTGTAAGGTCGAAGTGATTAACCCCCCTCCCATTCATTCTAAATTCTAAAAAATATTATTTCGTATATTTTTCATTTTATTGATTTTATGCAAAGCACTGTTCATTAAAATGTTGGATCCTATGTTATAGGGCTTGTTTCTCTCTACAATTTCCTGTTTCACAATGTACCGTTTGTGTCTGGGAAGGGTTCATAGTTTCATAGTTGTCGATTTTCGAAAGAAATCAGTACATGTATATTATTTCGTACATTTTTCATTTTATTGATTTTATGAAAAGCACTGTTCATTAAAATGTTGTAAACTATGTTATAGGGCTTATTTCTCTCTACAATTTCCTGTTTCACAATGTACCGTTTGTGTCCGGGAAGGGTTCATAGTTTCAATATTTTTCATTTTATTGAATTTTATGCAATATATATGTTAAATGACGCAGACTGTCTTAAATATTTATGTCATTTTTTTTAAAAAATAATGGTTTTTAAATTATTATGTTTTTTTAACACTACATTCTTTGACTTGATCATGTTAATGTAGATAAAACTATAGAAATGCTAGTCATAACATTACGTTGAAATATGACAAAATATAAGGTGCGAATCATATATCCAAAAATTATGAATAAATCTCTATATCTTAGAAAGTTTATTTTTTCTACCCTCTTGCAACATTTGATTTTTGGTGGAATGTAGTGAACAATTAATTAGCCTATAATAATATTGATTACTTTTAATTATTCAAATAAGAGCGTAAAAACTTTTTGTAATTATATTCAGAACAACTACCAATAGTTTTAATTGAAAATCGTAATATAATAATTAATCGCCAGTTGCAATTATTAATAATAAATTCAAATGCGGAACAAATAGGTTAGAAATAACGAGACTTATATTAATCGGTCCTCAAAGCGAACACAGATAATCCGAGCGTGATATTGAATAAATACTAAACGAGATTTATCGACGCTACACCAATATTTGTTTATAACATACTATGTTCCGATTTTATTTATATTAATTTCCTGGCGATTACGAGGATTGTTAATTTAAAAGCAGGTCGTCCGGTTCAATGTGCAAATGAAATTGTAATTATTTCTGATTGATTTAACAGCATAATAATTATTCTATCGACGTAATATACATTAAAACTTATATAATTGATAGAAACTAGAATTATTTAACCGATTTTATAAAGGGCGTGTTTTTTATCGTTAACAATTTAATTTGTGATAGAGCTTTATTTAATTCAAGGGTGTTAGTATTTTTGTCATATATTAATTAAACTAATTGGAATTCGTTTATTCACCTATCAGTTTTGTCTGTGACAGAAATATATCGGCTATATAGGGATTATGAAAATAATATCGTCGAATTGAAAATTTAATGCAAAATTTTTGATTTTTCAATTGAAGTAAAAATACTGCATCATATTGAATTAGTATTTTTAACGTAGATATTTTTATATGTTTAATTTAAGTTGTAAAAGCAACCACCAGATTTGTTTTGCTCAGTAGCCCTGAAGAAATAGTTCTTTTAGTATAGTAGAATTTTCTGCTGTTGTCATTAAATGTTCACCTGAATATTTAAATATATGTGAAATGAAATTGTTTTATTTTTGAATATTTTTTTAATTGTAATTATTTTTAATTAATTTAACAGTATAATAATTATTTAATACATATGAAAAGTTATATAATTAATAGACACTAGAATTATTTAACCGATTTTATAAAGGCTGTGTTTTTCATAGTTAACAATTTAATTTCTGGACAAGCTTTATTTAGTTCGTTGGTGTTAGTCGTTATAAATTGTATCTATGACAGAAACAATCCAGAAATATTGCCAGAGAGTACCATTAAAAATTCTCATAGAACTGAAAATATAAATACAAAAATTTCGATTGTAGAGGAAAAACTGAAAAAAAAGGATTATAGTTATAATAGCATTGTGAATCTGGCTTAATTTTTGATATAAAAGCTATTACCAGGGTTTTTGCGGTGCGTTATAATTTAAAAATATTGGCTTGGGTATGGTATTTGGTCTATATATTTTTTAATTACTTTGGCATTATTTGATCTTAAGTTTGTACTGGTATGTGTTGCCCGAAAATATCTATGAATTATACAGGGTGACTCTTAATTAAGTGGCAATTTTCAGAGCTTATAGATCTCGGTAAAAGAAACAAATTTTCTCTTTACCGTTTTTTGAAAATCAAAAAGTCTCGGGTAACCGGGTTATTTAACTTTAAAAATAAAAAGAATGTTTTTTTTCTCAAATTTTGAGAGCGACTGTATCTTTCCTGAGTTTTCTTTCTTGTAAATTTAATCTACCTATGTTGATATTATGAAGATACTGTGTTTTTTAACTAAAAATTTAAAAAGATTCATAATTTGAAAAAAAAAATCGAATTTCTAATTCTCGGCTCATTTCTTTACATTTATTATAGATCCTATCTCGAATATGATATTAAATTGTTTTAGTTGTCACAAATAGCATTTTTAGTCTAACTTCATAAACCTAGTTTAGATATCTACCTAGGTAGAATCAATTACAAGCATACACCATATTTAAACATATCGTAAACTATAAAATGTACTTCATATCTTCAAAAATTATGAGCAAATATTAATATTTCACAGGTTTATTTCTTCTATTCTGGCATATATTAATTTTCTAGAAAATCTAGGAACTAGTGGGGTTGCAGTCGGAAGGGTTTGACAAAGAATTAATACACTTTGTTAATTGTCAAGCTTTCGGAATTTATTCATTCCTTCCTCAGGACACTAAAATGGAAATATATGTTCAACAATTATTGCTATAAAAGTTAAGAAGAAAAAACTTACTTAACATGGTACAAGAGACCTTCATAAAAAAACTACATTAAAAGATTGGCTTGTGTTGACACGGACTCTTTTTCCTAGAGTGTTTACGATTACTGAGGGACCAATAGATGGTATCAATTTCTTACATGTATTTCGTAAGTACGCAAAACTTCGACCACTCAATGTGACACATGGAGGTTGGTGATCAAGCTCGGTTGCTGAAGGTTACATTGAAAATTCAATTGAACAGAAAACCGAAATAGCAAAAAGAATCATGGGACAGAAAGATACGCCAAATAAGAAATTAAAAGCAGTTCACGTAGAAGCAGAAGCTACCAGCATTGCCAGTACAAGAAATTTACTTATTCCGACTCCTACAACTTGCATTTCTCTTAGAGGCGAAAAGTTAGGTGCCCCTTGTATTCACTTTAATAATTTAAATAATTGTACATTTAAGATTTATTATAAATAAATATTTTCATTTGTTTTTAACGTCTCATTTTTTACCTTTAGGCGCTAGTGCAACAAGTATCACTTTTAGATACTAGTGTCTAAAAGAATGTTATTTCAATTCTCAAATAAATAGCAAAAACTGTCAATTGCGAAACGCTTTCACAAAAAAATATTTTCTTCTCTCTTTTATTTTCGCCTGGAATGTTGGAAGAATCATTCAAAAGGTTTTACAACTAATTAAAACTATACGACCTGCACAACTTCTTTGTTCTTATACTTTAAAGCTAATAAAACGAAATATTCTAGTTTTCTCATTAACTCCAGTTGTAAGAAAGATCTGATAAACGATCTGTTCCGCTATGTAAAATAAAAACAGCCGTTAATGCTATTCTCAGTTTCTGCTAGATGTTCGATAATAATGCAGAATAGTGCGTTACAGTTGTTGTTGCGTATGTTTTATAACGTGTTTTTTCTCTTTGTTTCAGGTATGGCGGGCACGAAGCATGATTTTCTAAGTAAGTATTTCCGACTTATTCATGATTTTAGATTGAATCGTATTTTTTAATTTTATAATTTACATTTAAAATGCCTATAAAATAAAAGAATATATATATATATATAAACGGGATTTGGTTTTAAGTATTTAATACTCATTTCCAACTACAGCCTATTGCTGCCTTCCCGTTACCCTACGCCACACATCTCGATTTAGAGCGTCATCTTCAGGATTTTCTAGGTCTACCTCTCTTTCTTCTGCTCTGTGGAGCCCATTGAAAAACTTTTGATAAATGATAAATAAATAATACCAGTAAAAAAACACCTAAGTAGCAAATGCTACGTGACTATCCCCTATTTAGAATTTTTAATTAATTGAAAAATTAATTATTACCAAAATATTTAATACTATAGTTAATTAATGCGATTTATATTTTTCCTGAAATATTAATTTTGTTTTATCTATACTAATATATAAAATCCTTAAGTGACTGACATATTGATTAATCATGATCCTGCTCAAACCACTCAACGTAAGAAGCTCAATTTTGGCATACAGGTTGATTCTAGGGTGTAGAGGTTCGATAAGAAGGGATTTTTCGAAATTCCAGTTCCAAGAGGGTGAAACCACCCCTCAAATATTACAATATTTTTTATTTCAAAAACGGTCAAGTTTCCGAAAAAACGCTTAAACACGTATATTTTATTTTGTTTTTTACATATTTTAATTTTTTTTAAAAATGTATACAGGGTGTTTCGAAAAATCTGGTCATTGATTAATCACGATCCTGCTTAAAGCGCTTGACGTAAAAAGCTGATTTTTGGAGAACAGATTGACTTTAAGGGTGTAAAGGTTCGATAAGTTGAGATTTTTCGAAACTCGAATTCTAAGGGGATGAAACTACCCTCAAATATTAAAATATTTTTTATTTAAAAACCGGTGAGTTTTTCGGAAAAATTCTTAAACACGTTTATTTTATTTTGTTGTTTTACATATTTTAAGATTTTTTATAAATTTATACAGGGTGTTTCATAAAATATGACCATTGAGTAATCACGATTCTGCTTAAACTGCCTGACGTTTAAAGTTGATTTTTGGCAAACGGATTGACTGTGGGGTGTAGAGGTTCGATAAGGAGGGGCTTCTCGAATCTCAAATTCCAAGAGGGTGAAAACGCCCCTCAAATATTACAATATTTATTATTTAAAAAACGGTTAGTTTTTCGGGAAAACGCTTGGACAAGCATAATTTACTTGTTTTTTTTACATATTTTGAAATTCTTTAAAAAATCGTACAGGGTGTTCCAAAAAGTTGGGTAACTTCTTAACCACGATTCTGCTTAAACTGCTTGACGTAAAAATCTTATTTTTGGCAAAAGGATTTTTCGAAAGTCAAATTTCAACGAGATGAAACTACCCCTCAAATATTACCAAGTTATATAATAATATCGCCATATTGTTTTTTCTCATGCTAACATAAATGTGAGAAAATTTTATCCAGTTTGTATGATAATGGAAATTCTTGTTTTGCTTTATCATCACCATTACAAATGATTAATTCGACGCGAACGATGTCGCGGGTACATGCTAGTTAAACATATTTCAAGCGTATTTAAATGTAAAATTTAGTATTTGCCGATTAAAAAAAAATATTTTAATTTATTACTTGATTTTACATAATTACATAATTTCTACTGAAAATTATTTTTTATTGTCCTAGTAACATAGCGGAAAAACATAAAAAAACACAAGCTTTTATGCTTTTATGGTTTTATGAACGTATGTACATGCGATATGAAGTTCTATAGTTTCACTTAGTTAATATTATAATTGTTGTTTTATTACGGCAGTTAAATTCACGGTCTTTGTTTTAAATTAAAATAAAGATATATTTATAAAATCATAACTAGATATTTCATAAATGTTAGTAATGTTATTTTAAATCATTATTAAATTATTTTAATGCTATTAAAATATCTTCAGTAAAACGCAGATGAAGTGTAGAAAATATAGATATATAATTAAAATAATTAAATTAAATTATTTCAGTAATAATAGAAATATGAATATTGTAAATTTTAAACTGTATTCAGCCTTCCGCTTTTCAGATATGTTCGTTTTATTTTACTAGAAAATCTAAAATAAATATTTAATAGCAAGTAATTTTTTTCTGTGAATTTTTTTATTGTTCTTTAAAATTATTACACGTCAGTATAGAATTTATGTTTAAAAAAAGTCAGAGCTTCATCTAAATTGTGGATATAGAGCTTATAAAAATGGCCAGTTAATTATTTTAAAAATGTTATTGTTATATTTTGAAAAAAGGCTGGATATTTTCGCCAGTGGAAGAGAAGTCTACAAAAAAAGTTTACAGGGCGCCAAAGCCTAACCATTTTTTTACTGTCGCAAAGTTTTTAAAAGTAAAGACCATAAAAAAATTATCAAATTGATGTGTAACTTTTTTTTATGTTTTACTATTTACGAGATATATTGCATTCATTCCCACAATGTGTATGCATATACAGGGTACTACAAATTCGGGGTACGAGCATTGGTATCTCGGGAACCGTAATAGATACGAAGATGGTTAAATTGGGTCAAAGTTGCGCTTTAGGATGTTCATCAAGATGCCATTAAAAAAGTTTTAAAAATTTCAAGGATTGCTGAGATTTTTCGGAAAAACGGATTTTTTTTGTAAATCGATTTTATTTTTTCCTGTCGTTACTTTTTAGAAAATCAAAAAACCAATTGCATATTCTCATAGCCACTTTATTAGGGCTATATGATAGTATTTTTAGATTTTCAATTTAGCTGATAATTTGTGAAATACAGAGGCGATATATAATTTTTTTAAATACGAACCTGCATTTTTATTTCAGGTTTTAAAAGAACTCGATCTCCTGAGCATTATGATATGCCACACTTAAACGATCAAATGAACTTACCTGTGAAATTCGATCTTAATTATATGAAGCGTCCAATCCGAAGATATCACATTCACAATTTTTTTTAAACCAATTTTAAGTCCGGCTCTGTTTTTTTTTAATATTTAATCTACTCATCGTTACTATACTGATAAGCTTGCAAACTTAACAATGACGTGAGGTGAAACATTGAATACGGAAAATCAAATGTAATAAAATAATAAAAAATAAACAATATAAACAATCAAATCATCAATAATAATTTTTTTAAATACGAACCTGCATTTTTATTTCAGGTTTTAAAAGAACTCGATCTCCTGAGCATTATGATATGCCACACTTAAACGATCAAATGAACTTACCTGTGAAATTCGATCTTAATTATATGAAGCGTCCAATCCGAAGATATCACATTCACAATTTTTTTTAAACCAATTTTAAGTCCGGCTCTGTTTTTTTTTAATATTTAATCTACTCATCGTTACTATACTGATAAGCTTGCAAACTTAACAATGACGTGAGGTGAAACATTGAATACGGAAAATCAAATGTAATAAAATAATAAAAAATAAACAATATAAACAATCAAATCATCAAATCATTTCCCCGGAAGATGGATTGGAAATGGCAAAATTTACAATAAAGAGTACAAAAAGAGTAAAAAAATACAAAAAAGGGTGCATTCGGAAGTATAAAAAGAAGATATGTTCAAAAAAGAAGATATGCTATAAATAAGATTGAACGAAAAATAAATTTGTGCATTAAGGAAGGTAACTCCTTCGGACATGTATAGCATTAGAAACTAGTTTGTAGAAGTTGGTTTATTTATAATAACTACGATTAATATTTTGCATATTATTAGATCGTAAACTGAGATTTTAAATTTACAATAAATCTTTAAATTGCTGATCTGGATATTATTTATTTGAATCTTCCAATTGGCTCGATTTTCCTTATTGAATGTTAATTAGCGCTGATCAATATTATTGCGATGAAAATAATAAGATTAAATAAATTAAAAAAAAAACAGAGTCGGACTTGAAATTAATTTAAAATATTAATTAAATAGTTTTGTTATTGTTAAGGTACCCTAACAAAAAAAAGGACCAAGTGTGCCAAATCATTGTACTCAGGAGATCGAGTTCTTTCGAAATCTGAAATAAAAAAAGCAGGTCCGTATTTAAAAAAATTAAGTTGGCCTCTGTATCTCAGAAATTTTCAGCTATTTTGAAAATTTAAAAATACTATTAGATAGTTCTAATAAAGTGGCTATGAGAATGTGCAATTAGTTTTTTGATTCTCTAAAAAGTAACGACAGGAAAAAATAAAATTGATTTTCAAAAAAATAATCGTTTTTTTTTCCAAAAAACTAAGCAATCCTTGAAATTTTTAAAACATTTTTGATGTCCCAATCCCTTCGTGGCTCGACCCTTTGAGCACCAACAGATGTGACCAACAGATTTGAAAAAGCTTGTCTAAGCTCTGAGACGTATGATGAGTTATAACTCAAGAAAGGGGGACACAATAGATCTATAAGGTCGCGTTGCTTAACTTCCCCCCTCCCAAACAATCTACAATTATTTCGTTGTAAGATAAAATATAGTTAGCGGGGTCCCATAGACCGCCCGTTAGCGGTTAAAGGTTAATCAAACCTATCCCCCTTTTTACCAAAATCCCCCCTCCTTCCTTTTCCCCCCGTTCATTGATGCTTTTCCCCAGTCACGGTGTCCGACTTCCGTCTGGACGTCTTCTCTTCAAAGAGGGCGGCGCGCGCACGCCCGCCGTCGAAGGCACGCGTCCCGACGCCGAGCGTCTTTTCCAGACGCCTCTCAGTCGTCTATTGGCCGCGTCCGCTACCAGCCGCAACAAACGGCGCTCGCAGTGTTTATATAGACGTCGCGCGATCGTGGAAGCCGGTGTGTATATACACGAGAGTCCACGTGTATTACTTTGTTTAAGACAAAAATTCTTCTGATTCTTGTTGAATTTGTTTGATAGAGGAGTCGATTGAAGCAAGCAATAAGTTTGCTTTTTTATCGTTCGATTTTGAGGTAGAATTTTATTGAGAATGAATTTACATTTTTAAAAATGAATTA